CCACAGACATGATGACACTCTTTCACCACCACTGACACAACGGCACTCTCTCAGCACCACAGACCTGAGAAATGATTGTGGCCGATCTGCACCACAGTGAAACCACGAAGTCCGGTCCTGGGCAGCAACAACAAAACCAAACTAGCTGAACCAAAACCGCATCAATGATTGCTTTGCCTGACGAATGGTCGAATACGCCACTTAGTCAATCAGACAACAACAAATGAACATCAAAGCAACGTATGAGCCTGCCCAAACCCAAGGTGAATGGCCAAGCCTCAGTGACCAAATTTGAGCACTGCCCCAACATCTCACAGAATGACCCCATCCCACACAAAACTCAACATGCCAAGAAATCGCCACTCTGTCGACCTAATTTTTCCTCAAGCCCTGTCAGGCGAGTTGTCTTGAAACACCGCACCGAGTCTCCGTCCAACAGCAACAGCAACAGCCATAGTTGAAATCAATGCATTGAAATCCTATTGCTCCCTGGGTTGTCAACATAACAACTCAATACAATGCACATCTTAAAACCAGATTCATCTCCCACCTTGAACAAGCTCAGTTGAAAAGTTGAAACGCACATCATTTCAGTCGACATTTGAAGTGATGTCAATTCCTGAGTTTACCCGAGTGGTTGGATGGCCATGTTGACAAGAGATGAATCTTGGCGTTGAGACTCAGGTGCTTCCAAGGTTGAACCGACATGTGGGTTCCTGTACCATGTCCCGCCAGCTCATGGATGATGCAAATCCTCACGGGCCATGGGGACGAAACAGTCAAATTGAGCAAGCAACAAATTTCTAACAGCTGGCACTTCCTCAGCACCACAGCAATCTGGCACTTGCTCAGCACCACCATGCAAGCTTTGCCAAGGGCAAACACTGTAAAGTTTCCACAGCGCAACACCCCAAAAAATATTGAGTAAGTTTCAATACACAACATGATGGCAGCATATGGCAGCACACTTCCCGCCTTCATCTTCATCGATCTCGTTTGTCCTTTTTCACTTTCTTCTCGGCCTTCTTGTCCTCCTTGGCCTGAGCCATGGCCTCCAGGGTCCTCTTCTTCGCCTCCTTCCGGCCCTGAGCCGCTGCCTCGCTCACCTCTGCCGGGAGCGGCGTCCAGGCCTGCTGCTTCTCCAGCGCTGTGACCTTCCGCTGCAGCGCGTCGACCTGCAGGCTGAGGTCGTTGGCCTCCCTCGACTTGGTCACCAGTTGATCACTCAGGCGATCCTTCTCGGACGCCAGCCGGCGGTTGTAGAGCTCCACCATTTCCGCCTTCTCCTTTTCCAGCTTCTCGATGCGCTGCTCCAGCGTTGCTTTCTGATCGTAGCCCCTCTGGATCTGATTCTCTTTGGCTTCAATCACCTCCTGGTTCTTCGCGAACACAGCCTGGAAGCCATTGTTCTCCACCTGAAGCCTTGCAACTTCCGCGCGCCTGGCTGCCAGCTTTGTTTCCAACGCGGACCGCTCGGCTGTCAGCCTTGTTTCCAACGCGGACCGCTCGGCTGTCAGCCTTGTTTCCAACGCGGACCGCTCTGCTGCAGCTACGGCCCGCAACTCCGACTCCCGCTTCTCCAGGAAGAACGCGAACTCCCGCCGCATCTGGCTGAAATTGTGGCGGTGGCGGCCGCCTTTCCCAGGTGTCTGCTGCGCAGCATGCGCCCAGCGATCCATTTGTTCTTCCCAGTCCTGGCGCCATGTCGAGGGCTGGGATCCTGAAGGCTGACCTGACAAATCCAATACTGGACAAATTTAAATGCTCAAGACTTCAATGGCACTTGCTCAGCACCACACAGCAATGATCAATGATCAGCAATGAAAAGAACAAAAAACGCTTCAAGAGACTGTATTATGCAGTTCGGCCAATACACTGGAACCTACTCGGCCCACAACGCAACATTTCCATCCGCAGCCTCCACCGGAACCAGAAGCACTTGATTGGTTCAGTTGACCTGCCAGCAAGGTTTTTCCCATCTTGTCAATGCCATCAAAAAATCATCAGATATGTGAAAGCTAATGCCAAACTCATTTTACTTGAACAGATATGCCTTTGCTGTTGGCCCGGCCTGAAGGTCTTGACATCCAGGCATTTCCACCTGCCAGAAAAGGAACACTCCAATATGAAGGATGGAGAAAAAATTGGACTAGTTATTGGAAGAATGGCTTCGGTACTCTCTCAGCACCACAGAGTGATCCAAGTTTGTGATTTGAATTCAAGAACTGCCTAGTAGCTTCCAGGCCTTGAGTTTGCTGCTTGCTCGCATGATCCATGGCGTGAAGGAGACAAACAGTGATCTAGATCCTTTGAAGGAGACAAACAGTGTCAGTGGTACTGTGAATGTAACAGCAACTGTCTTCCCAGACAGTTTTTTGTTGCAGTGCCGGCTATACTTGATCAGAAAAGCATATTGACTGCCTTGCTGTAGTGGTTACAATAGATCTAGCATTGCCCCCAAAAGTGATGTCCTCCTTGCACGCCTTGAGCCTTGAAAAACTTGCCCAGATTTCTCCATGGAAAGCCATGCTTGTTGCAACATATTGCAGCATCCGCACAACATGACCTGCGTTGATCGGACTTGATCTGAGTAGCTGGCCAGTGTTGCCCCAGCGGGAGCGCAAGAGCAGCGGGTGGCCTGAATGGTCTACACCATCACAGCAATACATTGGCCGCAAAGAATGGCACTGTCTCAGCACCACAGTGTCAAACAACATCAATCTCAACACCACATTGTGTCACATTATCAAGTCATAATTGAAATGACATGGCACTATCTCAGCACCACATTGTCAAAAGATGAGGCGGCACTGTCTCAGCACCACAATTACCCAGGTTCCCTGCGAGATGATTGCGCTGCACCTGCACCGGCGCAAGGCCAAAATCAAAACACTCTTGCAACAAAGGTGATGCCACAATGCATTACATCAAATCTCCTTTGCAACAAAGGCCACAATGCATAAAGTTTTCCTTTCACAGCATGGTCTCACACTGATCCCGTCACATGATTCTGCAGCCAAGGCAGTGACTTGTGTAACGCCACTGCGAAGCTAGCGTCCTGAATCTTCCCCCCAAGCCAAAAGAGCAATCAGTTCATGAAGGCGGTACCAACTCCACAATTTGGTTGCCCTCAATCTTCAGGTCATACAGAGCCACCAGCATCGGCCTGATCGGTTGGAGGCCCTTGGAGGCCACTGCCGGCCATTTCACGGCCCAAATCAAGCGGGCAGCCTGACATTTCTCCCACACAGAAACTGGGACTGCACCAGCCAAATGGGCTGCTGGGATCATCAGCTTCTGCTCATCGTCAGCTTCAGTTTTGACTTCTGATCTTGCAGGAAAGTCTTGCACTTTGAAATACAGTGCTGACGACCCCTTGGGCTTCAAAGCAAAAGCAGAAGCACTGGTCGCAGTAGGCGCATCTTGAAGCTCATGATAGGAGACTGTGGCATCTGCAGGCGTCAATTCCCGCTTCGCCATGATGATTTCAAAAAGAGATGAAAACTTGCCGTTCATCATCACCTTGTCTTGATCACTTTGGAGCTTGAATGGCACATCACAAGTGTCCTGTGGTGTTTGATCCTCACCACCCTTGCCATCAGGCATCCAAAAGCGGCCTTTGTAGTAGCCAGCCAGCGTGGTGCCAGCTTTGACCACCACAACATCAGAAGAGGAATTGCGAGCAAACACCCCATGACCAACCGTCACAATGAGGTTGATCTTGGGGCTTCCGGTCACCTTGGCCTGCCAGCAAAGCGCCGCAGGAACTTCCTCGACCACCTTCAGCTCGAAAGTCGACTTGTTGAGGGTTCCATTTCCGGCCCCTGTCACCCTTTGCTTTTTGAGCGGTGGTTCCTGCGCTGGCTCGTCTCCATTGGAAGAAATCTTCACATCCAAGGAGTAGTCCTGTCTGGCTTTCTCCAGGAACTCCCGGAATTCGGCCCCATGGACACTGTGGTCATGCCACGTCTTGAGAAGCTTCTCTGGTGTGCGCAAGGATTCTTTTGCCTTGCCAGTTCCCCAAGCCAGCAAACTCAGGTTTGGTTGGGGAGGGCCTGGCACCATCGTATCAGATTTCTCTGGCAAAGGAATCAATGGTTTGAACTCGTCTGCGAGGATGCTCTCAAAGACGCACTGCGACTGGTGCTGCTTGGCCCAGTCAGCCTGAAGGGTGAATAACAGTGAAGATTCTTAAAAGTAACTCAAAGCTCCATGATCCGTTAGTGATTGTTGGCTTTTTTTGAAGTTGGCCCTGCCTCAATTTCTGACTCATGGAAAGCCAAATAAACAAGGTTCATTGCCATGGATGGTTTGAACTTTTCCCTGACCACAGCTTTGCAGAGGTCCCCGGTATGGGGAAACAAGTCAACCACCAGCACAGTAGGTTTCCCTCCCAGAGCTCCGACTGTTCCACGCAGGAGGGAATGCATTGCGTCAGGCCCCAACTGAACGCTCTTTTCAGCTGCATTCGCCACATGAGTCAAACTTGTTGTGGCTGGAAGGGCTTCCTCAGAACAGTCCTCGATCTGGACAAAGTCCTTGGAGCTCATGACCTGGGCTTCCTCAAGCAAACCCTTGCTGAGAATCTGACTTCCACGGTATGTTTGCCACACTTTGGTGAAGACAGCATCCTCCATTGGGAAAACCACTCGGCCATGGCGCACCATCAGCCTGTCAATTTCACATTGATAATATGCTCACGCTTCCCATTTTTGTATGCTTCAATCAAACCCTAATCTGGACCCTAAATTTAACACCCACACGGACACACAATAGGAGTCAGCCTCTGATCTCGATCATCAGCACGCTCACGGAAGGGCAGCACAAATCGCTGGTCAAAGTTGAGCCGATTGTTCGCCAAGAGTTTGTGGCAAGCCTCCTCCGTCTTCCAAAGCTGGCCTTTGCTGTATGTGAACACCGGTTCCATGATCACACCAATGTTTCGGCCTCCAGCTTCCTCATTCGAGTTGACAAGTGCTGCCAAGACAGCAGCCTGTGTCTTTTGAGCCTGAGAGGCCACGAGGCTTGGCGCTGACCAATTGCAGAACATGACAACGTGGGCAGGACATTGAAAGGTTTGCACCAACTTCTTCTCCATGGCCCGGACCTTGTTCAGGACCTCTTGGGGGTTGGACAACGTCTCAAGTGACCCACAGAAGTTTCTGCCACCCTCGAAGAGGCTGTTGGCCTGGCGCTGGGCTTCAGCTTGCCTTTCGACCTTCAGCTGTAGCTCTGCGTGGTAGTTCGCAGTCTCCCTGTCATGGCACTTCAAGCGCCAGTTGGACCAGGCTTTGAGATCGTGCCTTGGTTAAAGCGATCGTGTACAATAAAAAAATACCAATCACTTTCACAGCACAAATAACCTGTTGCACTGGCTCAGCACAACCAATTATATACATATATTTATAGTTATTTATATATATATATATATTCAAATGTTGCACTTACTCAGCGCAACTTCATTGCAGCCGTGCTCCTATATCATTTTAGAACACCCCTCTACAGAAAAAAACTCACAAAGTCATGACTCAAAGGCCAGTTGCTCAAACATTTGCAGCATCAGATGAAACTCTTCACGTTCCAGCTCGCCTGCTGCCACCAACCTTTTGGCCGCAGTCGTTTTGAATTTGTCCTCATTGCTCAAGTTGTGAGCCTTCAAGATGTCCTGCACCATTCGAACATCAGAGATCTTGAACTTCACTGATTTCTCAGATGCTGCAACCTGCAAGTCGAGTTCCAAATTTCCATCAAGAGCCACGAAGGCTTCACTCAATTGTTGGGTTTGGCAGCCACCCTCGGCAAGTTCAGCCTCAATGGAAACCACAAGTTGCGCCATGGAGGAATGCTCCATCATCTTGTCCTTAGATATCTTTCCACGGTTCTCTTGGAGGCTGGCGCGGTGAGTGGCATCCACATGCTTCAGGAACAGGATGAAGCCACGATCAGTCACTTGCAGCCGCTTTTGCCATCCCTTGTCAGTTCCTTTAGGAGACCAACCAGGGAACAAGGCCTTGTTCGCGAAACACTCTTCGGAAAAGGCCGTGCTTCCTCCAAATGCAGAGGCATGGTGCAGCAAAATCTCCCGAGCACCCTCCGGGGCTGACAGGAGCGCAAGTAAAGCGACCCGTTTTTGTCCTTGAAGTTGCGACTCCCTGGTCGCTTGTTGGTTCCAAATCTTTATGGCCTGGTCAGCTTGCAAGCCTCTCGATGTGAGCAGAGCCAGCTTGGACAGCCATGTGGCTGTATCGTGCGCTCTGCGGATGGAGCCCCTTGCAGAGAGCAATGCATTGGAGAAGGCAATCTTGGTGATCTCATTCCCCATGCTCCCTCGCCTTCCGTGAATGAGAAGCAAAGAATCATAGAGCTCTGGAGCCAGTACCGACAAAGTCCAGCCTGAGATTTCCACAAACACTGAAATAATATGTGGAAATAATATACAATGCCTTCAATCCCAGCACATAGCCGCAGGACCTAGAAAAAACATTGCATTACTGACAATGCCAGGTGTCCTTTCTTCCAGCAAAGAGCTACCAAAAACAGTGCCACACTAGCTCTGGCAGCGCCTTTCACATAGAAGCACCAAGCATAGTTTCGGTCATTGATATTTGGACCTTCCCAAAGCAAGAGCGGATCTCCTGCAACAAAGTTGATTGACCTCCCCCCGAAAGATCCACACCGCACCCAAACATGTGCAACTTGAGAACACCCAGCCTTGTGATTGAAACCCATGGGTTATGATCTCATCCCACAGTGATAAGCATGTGACCAAGTAGGGAGATGGCTTGGTACTGGCGTCGCTGAACCAGCTCAAATCACTCAGGTGCAGATGGAAGGTATCCACAGTGTTGCTTGGCAGCTTGCCCTGTGAGATATACGTCACATCAAACCGCTTCGGATACTCAGTCAACAAATGAGTGGCAAAGTCTAAGGCATCAGCAGATTCTTTTGGAAATAGTGCATTCAGCACATGCCCTGCCCCATTGGCCTTTTGCATGACCCTCTTGCCCTCTTCAAACAAGATGGCCTTGAAGTTCTCGGTTGAGACTGTGTCAGCCATGCTTTCGTGCAACATTTGCAGGACCGTGCTTTCCTCCTTCACCTTGGATAGAGCTTCTACTGCTTCCACTTTGGCCACATCTGAGCCATCTGTAGCAACAGGTTTGGCCATCAGAGCATCAGAGCCATCCATAGGTGAGTCCTCCATCATGGCTCCTTAAACCTTCACTTACCTGATCCAAAAGTCTTCTGACGCGTGCATCTGCAAACCATGACATCAATGCAGCTCTAGGTTGAACAGTACTCTTGCAAGTGAAATGAAAAGCATTAAGAAGCCTGGCCTCTGTGAAGACAATGCCAGGCCTTGGCTGACTTGTACTTTTCTTATATTTCAATGTTTGAATCCAGGCTAACCCTACCCCCTCATTTGGGGGGGGGTCACTTCGCTCGATTTCAGATGAAATGAGGCTATCCCCCTAGGGTTTTGATGATTCCAGGCTAACCCCCCCCCCAAATCTTGACCCCCTACTTAGCCTGAAGTAGCTCCAAGGCACCATACTTCGCTCGATTTCAGATGAAATCACGCTATCCCCCCCCCCCCAAATGGGGGGGGTGAGTTCACTCGGATTTTTATATTTTGAAAAATTGTTTTAAAAAATATTGCAATATGGTGCCTGCCTGAACATTATAGCTTTCATTGAACAATCTTTGAGGCCCAAACGGCTCCAAAGTGATGCGCCAATGAGCTCTCCATGGGTGAATTAGGTGTGCACCTTGCCAGCCTCTGAGCAAAATAGATCATTTGTCAAGTTCAATTTGGCAGCTGGCACTTCCTCAGCACCACATGGCACTTGCTCAACACAACAACCAGTGGCACTTTCTCAGCACCACATTGCCCACCCGACACCCTATATGGCCGTCCAACATGAACAAAGTTTATGCAAAACACCAAACACCAACAGAGTTGCAAAAGTGGCCCCAGCAGCCAGCAAAGTCCAACTTTTTCAAACATTTTGTTGCACAGCTTGATCTGAAAGCATTGCCACAGATTCGACTCTGTGGCTCAAGTTAATTAAATGAACCTTTGCCGTGCCCTGGCTCCGTGAAGCTACAGTTCTTCAACATGGAGCTTGGTAGCCTCTGCAACTTTCATGCAGAAGTCCGGGGGGTAGATCTGGCAATGCTTGGAGACAGATACGCCATTGTAGCTTCCCTGCACATGAAAATGCTCCACTTGGCATTCGCATTGCAGCCCTTGAAAGATTGACTGAATATGGTGGCTGTTGGTCATGAACTTGGTTCTTTTCCGAATGGGATGCTCATCCGGTGTCGACCCCGGTGCACAAAGGCCAACTCTACATTGGTCCCAGTCCAGGAATTGAGTTGAAGAACGCATCGCCATTTGCTGAGCCTCAAAGCATCAGTAACAGCAAAATTCTTGAACCGTTCAACAAGATCGAAAAGCATGGTGCCAAGCGAACATTTTTGTTGGCTTAAACTTAGACATGCGACAATGTCGAGTTTCCACGAAGCTGCTTTGTACGGGTGCTCGTAGCAATAGAAACGTCCAGCATCATCTTGAAGCCGGCAAAGCTCCATGGAAAAGCAAACCATCAGATAGGCATCTTTTTCCCGAAGAGCCTTAACTTGAGGGTTCATCTTCTTTGCGTTCCACAAACGCATCAACTCGCTGTACATCGTGCACGGCGGTGAGCACATTAGCATCAGCGGGCGTTTGGACATCAAAGTTTTCAAGACCTCCTGCCTGCCAGCAGTGGACAAAAGGTCGCAATCGCTCAACAAATCAAAGGAACCAGCCGTGGTCATGCCTAGACGACAAATGGCAGCAGCAATCCGGAATGGTGAGAACACCTCCATAAAGTGGAACGTGAACAAGAGGCTTCCGATGGTGGGCTCTGGTGCCTGACCTTCCGGCCCCTGTCCTTCATCCTCAGAATCGACATCAATGATGGTGATGACGTCAGCCGGATCACTATCGCTTGGAATGAAATGCATGGTGGTGTCACTCTGCCCAGACATCACTTCAGGTCCACACTTCTACTCTGATACGTCTTGGTCCCCACAGCTGTTGGTAACAGTAAATGTCTCAAGCATGATTTACAGAATGATGGCACTCATGCAGCACCACAGCAAACCCCATATTTCCAAAGGACGAGCTGGACTAACCACCAAAAGGAACTACACTCTGTGCGATACAAGCTTTCCCACACATTCTACATCGGTCTCCAATCCCTGAGTCACATGCCAAGAGCAGGCGAAAAGCACACGGCCACGTGAAAGGCCAAAGACCTAATTTTTGAATGGTTCAGAGGTCAAATCCACAGGAAACATGTCAGAAACATGCCAGCTGTGTCTTCATATATGGGCAAGCCAATCATTTTTCCTTTGATTCCGTGAGTTGGCTCATTCTTATGAGCGAAAATGTTCACACATCTTCAGGCAACAGTGAACAACTGTGTTCTTGATGAAGGTATTAACAGAAACATACCTGGCCAACACAGTGCTCACATCAGATGTTGTGATGAACATGTTCAGCAGCTGAGAACGCTTCACTGCAACCTGCAAAATTAAAAGTAACATGACATGGATGAGGGCTCTGGCAAGTTTTGTTGGATGGCCAGCCCTCAGGGAAAAATCTTGTGAGCTCAGTTGGACCACACTACGTCGAAGACTCTGATTGCCTCGTGGCTGAGCACGGTGAGCACATCAGGATGAAAAGAAGTCCCAGCACCAAATGATTTGAATAATAAGCAAAAATCTTCAAACATGTTCAAAATATGTGCACTTGCTCAGCGCAACCTTGCAGCATTTGCTCAAAATTATTCACTATCTCAGCGCACTTCTACAGCATCTACTGCGCACCAAACCCAACTTCAAATGCAACAAGTTGATTCCAAGTTGCTTACCAATGCCTACTGAAGCGTTCTGGAGTCAATAGGTCACGCGTCAACACCTTCTGCCGGCCGATCTTGGATATAGCGTGGATGAATCCATTTTCCCTCATGGAAGATCAGACCATTGGCTCGTCGACACACGGCGCAGCCTGTCCTTTGCTTCCTGCACTTCGCACATCCAAGTGTGATGTCAGGAGCAAGATGCACCATGGTTCCACCTCTCGGACCTCGAGTCGCGACCACCAAACCTTCAGGTCCAAGAGGTTGCTCTCTGCCAGCAGCTGAATCTCCTTCACCAAGGGGCCCTCCTTCAACAGCATCAGCAGGAGAGCGGGCCGCTGAAGACCGAGCCGCCATTGCGGGAGCAGAGGCCGGTCTCTTCATATTGCTCCCCGGCTTCTTGGCGCTAGCTGGCCTTTTCAGCACTTTCTTGCCGCTCCCCTTGGCCTCAAGACTTGGTGCACCACCAAAAGCAGACTTGGCCGAGCTCGGCTGCGATGGCAAAGAGTGAGGTGACTCTGGCACTTCCGAAGGGCCTTCAGCCACATCCCTCATTTGCAAAGCTCCTGGGTTTGGATCTGGATCAGGCTGTGATGGCAAGCGATCATTGTCAAACTCTGAAGGCAAGGCAGCCGCAGCTGCCACTCCAGGTCCTGAAGCCTTTGGTTTGGCTGCACCTTTCTTTGCAGCAGCTTTAAATGTTGCATAGACACGAGCTGGCGTTGTGTTGCTCCAATCCATGTCTGATGCCTGAGGAAGTCAGTGTGACAACAAACTAGATCTCAATTATTTGACAATGAAGCCCCTCCCTTTCTTCATTGAATGAGCATGCCAAGCCTGGAGCTGATCTGATAGGTCAGTGGGCAGCATAGTGGCTTGCTCCAAAACCAACTCTTCCAACGGATGTCGATATGTGAAAGAAGACGGAGGAATAGTCCCGGCACTCGAGATGAAAGAGCGAATGTAGTCTGCAGCTCGCCACCTAGATCAACCAATGGTCACGAGAGATTGCTTTAAGAAAAATAGCTTTAACGTATGCAATCCAAAACAACCCGAGACAGACATCTGAAAAAAAGAAGCCAAGTGGCAGGTTCCATGGTTCTTGGCTGACCTTGTCAATGGTTTTCTGCAACTCCTTCTTTCGCTTCTCATTGATAGGCTTCAGATGGACATTATACTGCGGCCACCCTGTAAGCTTTTCTAGCTGTGCAAAAGGGACCAACACAAAAGGGTCTTGATTGCCGGTCTCATCACTGGACAAATAGCTCTTCACCATCATGACCACATCTTTGGGATGAGCATCATCAGGGAAGGCGGACTCGACAGGACCGCCCCATTCCAAGTTTTCTCTGGTGGTCAGCAAGAAGTAATGCGGCGCATGGAGACCTGCCGCCTTGTTGCCTCTGCTTTGGGTGTGCCCGTGCAAACTGCCTGGCAAATCGGACAAGAAGGCCTTGTAGTCAGCTGTATCGTTGCGGATGTTGACCTCAGAACTTCTGCCTTGTCTTGGTTTCACCTTCTTCACTGCATCCCTGAAGTCCCACGGATTCTCCAAGATGTTTTGCTGAAAAAGCTCGTATCTCACTTCGCTGAACCTTTGGTCCGGAAGACCGTGTGAATGGCCAACCACAAAATAGGTCCAAGCCACTCGGTCAAAAACCTGCTTGTGGATGAGCCAAGCTGCCCACTTGAATGACATCTGGTTCTTGGTCTCGGATGGACAGTTGTCCGCATGAACTCGCAGATTGCGAGGAAAGGATATCTTGTGCTTTTGGCAATGCTTCCAAGCTTCCAGGATCTCTTCACTGAGCAGTGTCAAGTCCAGGTTCGCTGTGGTGGGAACGGTCTCATCCATGAGGTAAAAGCTTTCACGGAAACCTTCTGTGACTACCAGGGTGCACTTGAGCTCTGGCCGGTCCATGAGACTGAACTCTTTGGATTTGGCTATGTTCAAAGGTATTTTGAATTTAGCACAGTCCATGCCATCCACGCACATTGACAGCCACTGCTCCGATGTCTCCAAGCCTTTCATGCTGTCCTGGCCAACTTGACGCCAATGGGCATCCAAGCGTCTATCCTCCAGTACTTGGTTCAAGTGAGCCACATAGGCCTGCCCGACAATGTCAGCATCTGCTGCAGCCAAACTCTGGCGTCTGTATTCTTTGAACTTTTCACAAACATCGCATTTGGCGTGTTGAGAATCTCCCCTGAATTTGACCAGACCCTCCCACCTTTCATGGTACACCCGGACCCAGGTTCGGTAGCTGGGAATTGGCTGGAGGTGCGACAAGAAATTGCTGGCCACATGAAGCCTGAGGACCACCACAGCATACCACAACAACAACAACAACAGTAACAACAACAAACAACAAACACTCACATGATTCAAAAGGTTGCATGGATCAAATATGCTTCGCTTATTCCATCTAAGTGGCAGCTCTGTAAGAGAAATGTTGGGATGCAAGTGCCGTGGTTCCTTTTGATGAGCCTGCATGGAAGTTACCGGATCGTTGCCTAGCAGCTCTTTGACAGTCAAAGCCACACTTTTGAGGTTGCTTCCACCCTCAGCCAAAGGCTCTGCCAAAAACTTGTGGATCCATGCCCACATCACATCAGCATTGATGACTGCCTGAGATTGAGCCCTCGGATTTGGCCCAGCAGAGCTTCCCAAACGCAAATCTTTTGGAGCCACATTGTGCCCTTGCTCAATCCATTTGGACCATTCAGTGAAATTCTTCCTGCTCAGCTGAATGACGTGGCAAACAGCTTCTCGGCACAGCGAAACATCCTCCACTCGGTGTCTCCGATGAGCGCCACTGGCCTGCGAGGTCGCCAAGTTCTTCAGGATCAAACACTGGAGATCTCGCCGCTTCTCCCGGTCCCTTTCCTCCCGGACTGCTTGCTTGATCTCGTCGACTCTTCGCTTCACATTGTGAATTGAGTCGATCAAATCCAGGCACTCGTGTTCACAGCAGCGATTGTGACCTGGCAGGCATTGCATCCCGTCATCGTCAGATGACACACTCTCTGGGAGAGAAGGTGGCAGTGAGTCTTCGTCTCCTGATGGTAGCTCATTCATTGAGTCAACAGGCCACTGACACAACTGGTGAGCTTGATCAAAGGACCAGGGATCGCAGTGTCTCAATCATCATTTGTTGAATCACTGAAGAATGTCAAATTCAAAACCTATCAGTGCCCGTCAACACTATCCAAAGATTCGACTGAGCGCAAAACCGCTGAGCACAACTTTGGAAGCCTGACTGAGCAATAGTTAAACAGTAAATATAAATCTCCCAGGCAAGCGGCTAGAAGCAAGTGTAATACACAGACAATCCTGCAAAACTCAGTTTGCTTCATGATGCCTTTCCTTGGACCATTGGACTATCCAAAAACTTGTCTGGTAAATCAGAAGGCTGAAAATTTGAAATTGGACAAACAGTCGGACAGCATGAAGCATCAACCTGTTCAGAGTTGAAACTTGCCTGACTGAGGCTTCTTCTCCGGCGTTTAAAAATGTGGTTGGCCTAGCCTTACTGTGGGCTGGGTCGCTGCTTCATGGAAATGTGTCACAACAATCAAGGACAGATTAAGACAAGGACCTCTCACATCGAAAGTGTTTTGCTATCATCCTGGGGCGGCATCTCACACAAACACGACTTGGTCTTGGTACTATCTCAGCACCACAAACACAAAAACAAAGCAGTATTTGGCACTGTCTCAGCACCACAATCACTAAGCAATCAACATCTGACATCTGGCACTCACCACAAAAATTGTTTGTTCCAAAACGGACCCCAGGCAAAGTTCCAGCCACTTTCACTTTATGTTTTCCCCATGTGCTGCGCATAGCCAAGTTTGACCACTGGATGCCTCTTGTGGCGGCAGCAAACAGCAGCTGTCATTGTTTTCAATACTTGTTCACTCAATCAACCAGTGTACACGGGAACACTGTTTTCATCAAAAGCCCATGCTTACATCAAATCATTTGATGAACAGCCTCAAGATCAAACCGCCGCATTCACAAAGATCTTTGACTATGCTTTGCCACAACCACAAAACACCCTAGCAACTCCTTTGCAGTTCTCTTCCTAGGTTTTCCTACCAAGAAACAAGTGCATAAGTTGAGTTGTGGCATTGTCCCACACAAATGATTGGAGTGTTGAAAAGCACTCAATATATTGCTCATCAGCTCTAAGGGCTAATAAGGACTAGATCGATGAATCCTTTTGGAACCATTCCGTGGCTTGTGGCTGCTCTCAGACGACTTTTCGAGACTGCCATCCGCATTCTTCTTGTCCAGCTCGAAAGTCGACTTGCCCCGCTTCAAGGATCTGGCTGGATGATCACTGTCACTGGCTGTACTTGGTTGGTCAGTCTGACTCGGCATGTCCATGATGAGGTCCTTCAGCTTTCGAGGAGATTTGTCATAGCCCCTCAGCACGACAGTGTCCTCTGAATCAGAATCATCCAAGTGTCCCTGAGCCGCGCTTGGATTGTTGTAAGGGACAGCTTCAACACTCCAGGCAGCAACTTCTTCTTGGACGATGCTATCGATCAACCTGTCAATGGATTCTCCAAATTTTTGGAACATTGTGTTGAGGCGCTTTGACACATACTCGCCCACGTCCACGTCTGACACTTGATTCTCCAAGCTAGCCATTAGTAAGGATGTAAGTCACACAGGGCTTCGGGCCAAGATACTCAAGAAAGCATGTCGCTGAGTTCATGCTAAGGAACAGTGATATGTACACGATTGAAGTGCCTCATCTCTCCAACCAAAACTTTGAACCAAATATATTGCTTTAGAAACGACGAGAGCTAGCCTGGCCAACCAGGTGCCACAAGCAGCAAGGGTCCGAGCACCCTGAACAATGTACATGCCATGAAGCACTTGCTCAGCACCACATGTTTGGCATCGTTTGCAAATCCTTGCATTAAATAAAAACCATGAAATTCAAGAGATGCAGTGCTCCTTAGTGAACGTGTATAGTGGTTTGCCTCTTGTTTTCTTTGGATAGCCTGAGGGCTAACCTCACAGAAGTTTGCTAGGCAACCCTGGCCTTCTTCCAAAACCAGACGTGACCATGGCACAGAAAGGGCAGCTCATTTCTTTGGCTGCTTGATGCTGCTTGCTTGGTGCTTGGGTGCCTTGCATGGCTGGTGGTGTGTGAGCATCATGGTCTGTGTGAGTTTCTGGGTTTGTTCAGGCGCTGATTGAACGTGAGACTTGCTAATTTCATGCGCATTGTGATCACAGTGAGAAATTCGGGTCAGAGTGGCACTGACACTTATTCAGCTTTCACTAGCAGTAAATGCAAGAATTGGGCAACCATTTCTAGTCAGCGTATGTGACAAAGTCGCCGACTCAGCACCACACACGGAAAGCAAGTGGCTAGCGCATTATTTCTCACATGATATGTGGGCACCTACTCAGCGCCACAAAGTGAAATCATGTTTTAAGTCTAAGCGTGACAACTTTATTACAACACATGATGTGCTTTAAGTCTGGTACTTGCTCAGCACCACCAGATTTACAAACTAAAATCAGAGTATATATTTCTTATATGTGGCACCAACAAATTCCATGTTCCACGTTCTGGCATTAAAAATGAAGACACAAAACACCTGGCACTTAAGCACCAACAAGTCCAGCCTATATAACTTAGCAGAGCCAAGCAAAAACATTTTGGATGCGAGAATTTGCAGTTTCACATTTTCATTTTATCAATTTTGATCATTAACGTTATTTGAGAGTATTGAGTGAAAAGTTACAGTCACAGCCACAAGGCACCAGTAGGCTAAATTCGATGCAATACAAAAAGGACAAGTGTGCAGACAAAAAGCACTTTTCCAGAGGCAGAGCCTTCATAGGAGTTCGCGTCTGCGTATGCTATGATCGATATGGCCCCCACATCGGGGCGCTGGAGGAAGTTCGCGAGTCTGTCCAACTGCGCGAAATGCTTCCTCGCCAATTCGTCCTGCCACTCTGAAGCAGCGCGCTGAACAGCGGGATTCCGGTGTACACTTCTGGAGTCAATCCAAGTGTTGCCGACGAACCCGTGCTTCCCCCACACGTCGTTGCCGGCATACGACACCACGATGACCGCTGGGGCACGCCGTTCCCGGCTGCGTCGTCTGGCATTGTTTAGGCAGCTCTCGATCTCATCGTTGATCGCCTCGAGCCCCTTGCCCCAACGCATCCCGTACTGGACCGATGCCGCAGTTCCCCTCAGGCCTGAAGGGTCGGCTTTGATGAACTCGCCGATGTTCCGTCTGGTCAGACGCGGCGGTTCAAATGATCCTTCAGGAGGTGCCTCGGCCTGCACCAAGGCCATGCTCGAATCGCCGACGAAGATGAAGTCAGCCTCCGGTTCCCCGGGGCACGGAAGTGCACCAAGGATCTTCAGGCTTGTACGATCCAGCCAGCGAGCATAATCCAAGTGGATCTTCTCGAGCGCAGCCTTCGCGAAACTCAGGTTGTCCACGTTCTGCTGCACCGTGACATGTGCCCTCGCATCAACCGGGTGGTCGACAATCGCAGCGAGGCACCCGACACTTTCCAAAAGTTCGTCCCACTTCTCACGGTTGGTGGGTTCCGAAGGCATGGAAACATAGTCCGAAAACTTCGACACCAGGTTCCCCTGTGCGTTCTTCCCATCGCACACGAACTTGGGCTCCATGATCGCGGAGGACATGTCGAAAGAAGTCGAAGTAAAAGTCGAGCGAGTAGCGCAAAGATCACAGTGACACGTGGTCGTACGAGCGGCTAGTCATTGAGCAGACACGGCCACGCGGAAAGCCCGGTGAATCAAATCCGTCATGGAGTAAGTATATTCCTCCGTGCGTTTCAATGATGCACCTCGACCTTCAGCATGTTCATGTCCACCCTGACACTTCTTTCCTTCAAAAGCATCAATCAACTGACTTAGATTAGTTTGAATTCTCCATGGCTTCCTAATAGGAACATTGTTCATGTCAACAACTCCTACCATGCACCCGTCAAACCTAACAGAATTCATGACATGAGAAACACAAAACTGATTCACCTTGTCAAGTTCCCAATAGTCACAACCATCTGGCCACTCGATTGCGATCCACGGTGACGATCGACGAAGCGAGTTAACTAGGTCAACCATACCCGACCAGATGCGTTTCATTTCACTGATGTGACTTTCAATCTTGACGGCAGCAGAAGGAATGTACTTGTTGACCCTTTGCCATGGTGATCCGCCAGTACATGGAATGCTCACCCAAACAAGAATCTTGATCTTTGGTCCATGCTTCCGCAGAACATCATTCACTTGATCAATGATTCCCTTCCTAGTTTTGGGAGAGGTGATGTCGTCCTGTTCAGTGATACGGAGAACGATGCACCCCTGAGTCTGCTTCCTAGTCGTATCCCCCAATTTCGAATTCGGTCCACAACACACCTCAATGAGGATCCTCTGAGGTCCGGACGATGCCACGACGGCAGAAGGTTCCCCTTTGCTTTGCACTTTCTTTTCGGCCTTGCGGACGCTATTTTCGGGAGAAGAGACAATGGCAAGCAGTTTGATGAGCTTATCCCATTTCTCGGCGTTACTAAATGGTTTCGTAAAGATATCGGCGGCTTGCAAGATCGACGCAACATACACGAGTATGAAATGCCTTCGACCGAACTGTTCAGCAAGCCACGCCAAGTTGAGACGTTGGGTCTTGTCCGTATGACGAAACGCTGGTGACCTACCCGACTCAAGTATTCGGATGGTAGCCTGATTATCTTCTAACAAGACCATTTCAAAGGCTCCCGTTCCGACCAGGTAGATGTCATTTGAACCTTGTTGTCCATCACCTGCATACTTGAAGTCCGTCAATGCGTTTCTGATTTCGCGGGACTCAACGCCATAGTCGATCTCATTCGGTCCTGCGATCCTGAAAATGGTTTTGCCCGTCCACGGCTCCTTCAATAGCTTGCATCTAGCATTACACCAGTCCCACATGACGAATGTTTCAAAAGCTTCC